CAGCCAATCAACTCTTTAAAGCAATGGTGTAGTAGAAGAATCCTTGAAAGGTAGAAGAAAGATGGTGGACATTGATATGGCTGCAGCTATTGCTGTTTGAGCAGAAGCTTGATGTTTGACCTGCACCTTTTTATTTATTCTTCTTGGAAACCCTAGGATGTATACCTATTTATAGATGAAGGCAGTGAAGACATGTCTTGGCCAGGGTGGAGTTGGTGTCTTCAGAGCTTGCTCCAGGAGAGGACTTGCCGTGTCCTAATTAGGTCAGACTGGTCTCTCTTTTTTCTGTGTTTACAGCTGTGCGAGTCACCACCCTGGCATCCTTCTGGATATCAATTTTCAAAATAAGAGTTTTTCAGAGAAGCTATTTTTCTTCATATATGGAGATCTTTCAGTACTACTTTGGCTGCTTTGTGTGGTATTATTCTACATGTTGGTAGAAAAGACAACAGTGGCCAGTCAGGACAGCTGCTTTGCTCCACAGCCACTGTTGTTGGCTTTGATCCATCTCCAGCCACAGCAGAGAGGGCATGACCCTGCCCCCCATGCACAGATTAGGGGACAAGAATTCTGAGGAAAGAAGTAGATGATAGGGATGTATCACCTTCTTATTCAAACTTTGAACAGAAAATTGCAAACATGCATGTTGGCTATGCATGAGCAAATAACCATGGAAATACCAAAGGTTTCATGTAGCAAAATAAAAAAATGCCAAAGAGATCTGACCTTTGTAAAACTCACGGCCACTGAGTTTGCCTTTTGGCCCCAAAAGTCAAATGATTCCCTGGATTTTGACTTTCATGGTATTCTTTTTCTGGCTACACTCAGGCTTGGATAATGTTGAGTTTTTAAGGCAGTTCCTCTAATCAATGACAAGACTGTATTGAGCTCTGCACCAAATGATTAATAGGTGCAGGAAGCATGCAGAGAGAACAGTTGGCTCGTTGATCTAAAGCCTGCATTGATACTGATCACTGAGTGCCAATTGATACTATTTGTCAAAATTATTGTCATTAAATTCTAACAGTAAAACTTATTCAGACGAACTGAAATTTAAGAGTTAAGTAACTTACTCAAGGCTATTCAATAAGCAAGGAATAGAGCCAAGTTGCAAATCTACATTGTCTGACTTTCAAACCCCAGGGTGTCACCAGCCACATGGAGAAGCAAAAAGGAGCTGGTCCTGATGAAAGTTCTCTGGATAGTATTAGAGAGTAAGATCAAGGAGGGAGAAGTAGTTGGAAACTGAGCAGGAAGTTGTTTACCAAGGACAGCTCTCAGCTTGTGTTCAAAGATGGCCAGGCTGGAAGACCATGTAGACTACGAACCAAACCCTTCATTGCTTAGATCAAGAATCTATGAAGTCAGTTGACTTCTTCAAGGCCCTGTATTTGGCTGGTGAAAGACCTAAGGATTCAACCAGCATTTGGGGGCTTAGAGTCCAGGTTTTTCATTTGTTTTTTCCTGACAGTGGCCTTGGGCAAGGTCAGAAGAACAAGATCATCAGCCCAAATTTCCTGTGAGGCACAGGAAAGATGTTAGGGAGGCCTCAGCCTGTGGGACAGCTACTTACCCACACAGAAGCCAATCTCCACTTCTCTGTCCCCACTCCCATCACCAGGCCCAGAGCCTAGGGATAAAGGCTAACCTGATAGAAAAGTTGAGAAAACAATAAAGTGCTCCAGATTCCATTGAAGAAGATAAGGTTGCAGCATTGATTCAACTTGGGAAAAAGCTCAAAGCAAAAAGTCCTGATGCAGATTCTAATATATTCCAGGCCCTGTCATCAGAGACTCAACGGACAACAGGAGCATTAACCTGAAATGAGATTAGTCCTCTTAGAAGTTATTTTTTAAATATTTATTTTAGTTGTAGGTGGACACAATACCTTTATTTTATTTATTTATTTTTATGTGGTGCTAAGGATGGAACCCAGTGCCTCATGCGTTCTGGGCAAGTGCACTACCACTGAGCTACAACTCTGACCCTCATTAGAAGTTATTATAGGCAAATTCTGTAAATCTGTGAGATTAGAGAACATATAAGAATGTGTAAGTCTCGGTCCCATTCCACTGAATGGAGCCTCCGCTGCCATGGATGAGATCGAAAGCCTTCGCAATATGCTGGGCCCATCGGCCTCGGATTGGTCTATTTTGATCCTCAGCAGGCAGCAGATGCAGGAGCTGGAGGCACACTTCCTGAGGGACCCCTTTCCATCCCACGGTACCCTGGTGGTCCTGGCCTCCTGCCTTGCCCTAGAGGAGCAACATGTGAAGAATTGGTTTAGGGTGTAACAGAAGATATACCCAAACCCTGAACCAGGCTATCAGCCATTTGCATGACACCTCAGCCGGCTCATCCTGGGCACACTCAACCTGGGCACACTCAAGCTAGACCATCCTGGTCTAGCTTCTGTTGTACATGCCCATCCTGCAAAGATGTCCACTACCCCAGCCCCAGAAGACCCAGAAAGTTCTCCAGGCCCAGGCCTGTGGGAACCTCTGGGGCAGTGCCCAGGAGAGTGCCTGGCCCCTTAGGGGAGAGGATGAGGAACTAGAAGTTGCCTTGAAGAGACTCTCCACTGCAGAGCCTGAGGAAGGTGACCTTGAAGACCAGACAAATCAGGTCAAGGAGATTTCTGAGTGGATGGGGGTTCTGCACCTGCCCCATTCCAAAGGTCCCACAAGTCCTCACTCTGGCTACTATTTCATCTAATTGCTGTTTCCACCTGTCATTTGCGTCACCTGGGAGTGTCTGGGTCTCCAGTCTAGGAGTGGAATGAGTGTTCCTGGGTGCACTTCCTTCCCTTGATGCTGCCCCTGCCCCTAGTCAATTTTATCACTTATCTTTCCTAATTTATGGGGATCTTGGTCTGCAACCCAGTGCAGCGGCTGCCTGCATCTCCAGGAATGAAGGACCTGTGCTCTCCAACAAGGATTTTCCCACAGTCCTCTGCTGACAGCCACACCCACATCAGATCTTCATCCCCTACCTGCATCTTTTAGATACCATATCCAATACAATTTCATCATTTGGAAATAGTTTGGAGCTTTGTCTTAATTTCGGTATTTTTTTCCTCTTATTTCCTTTTAGTCTTTGCTTTGTTACTTGTTGGAGGTTATTTTTCTGTTTGATTTTCCTCGATTTTCAATAAATTTTCTTCTTTTGATTCAGTGAAAAAAAAGAAAGAAAGAAAGAATGTGTAAGCCTCTCCTTTAGCCACTGCCAAGGCTGGGAATCTGAATGCCCTGTCCCCAGCTGCCCTCATCCTTCCCCTCTCTTCTCCACACCAAAGCCAAAGGTGACCTTTTCAGTTCATAGCTTGGTGATGCCCTTCCCTCACTACCTGCCTCCAAGTGACCTTCATTATAAATATCAAACTGCTGATCCCAGCACAAAAGCTCCTGAGGATTCAACATCCCTGTGCCTCCTGTTCTACCCCCCTGCCATTAGAAAAAAATATTTACACACGCACACACACACACACATTCTCCCCTTCCTGCTCAAGAGCTCTTAATGGAGTTCATCTTCAAGCCACACAGCTCTGGCTGTATCACCCCCAGAATCAGTGCTTTTGCACCTACTGATAGGCTCTCCCACTTTGTCCCCTTTCATTTCCTCAGCCTCTCATTGTCCTTCATGTGTTTGTCCTTCCAATTCTAGGAATCTATGCTAAAGAAATACTTGCACAGGTGCACAAAGATATATGTACATAGATGCTCATTGCTTCATTTTTTGCATTAGAGAGAATATTAAAAAAAAGCCATCAGTGGGTTAAATAACTTATGTCCATCTATTTTGTGATTACTGTAGAGCTGGAAAAAAAATAGTGGCAGGTCCAGTACAGATTAAAATGGAAAGATCACCATGGTATGTTGTACTGGAGAGTTCCCAGGTCAAGGTGACACAGGATTTTACCTAGTGGGTGACCTCTCCTATACCCCAGTTAAGCATCTAGAGTAGGGGCTGGAAAAAGTGTAAGGAGGGAGTTTAATATCAGTGTACCCCAGATTCCTCAAAAACCAAGGTCTCTCTTAACAAACCCCTCGCTGGGTAATCAAGTCATATCTGATAGAAACTGATACATATTTGTGATCTGTTCTTCCCTAATGAAAATTCAACTTTGTCACTTTCATTGACTAAATCAGAAATCGTTTTGTGATTTTTACAAAGTTATACTGAACTCAGATGAGTCCAGTGCAGCTATGTCCCTGGGCATATTGGATCAGGAGTCAGAAAATCTGCAGATTTTTAATTTGCCATTGACTAGATCTCTAACTTATTTTTATTTAACTTTAAGACCCTTCCTTTACTCATGCATGCATTGAGGGAGGTTGACAAAATAATCAACCTCTTTGAGGGCTCTTTGTTGCAAGGTTCTATTGGTCTATTACTCTTGAGGCTTGTGCAATGTTAATAAGAGTGATAATTGCAACCTTTATATTCTAACCCCCTTATGTGTAGTAACCATCTTAAATCTCATAACAACTATATGAAATAAATACTTCATCTACATTTTACGGGATAAGACACCAACATCACAGATTACTAGATTGTCCAAAGTCACACAACTAAAACATCGTGAAGCAACAACCTAAGTCCAGGCATTGCAACTCCAGAATCCATGATTCTCACCATTATGTTAGATTGCAAATAACAGCAACCTTTTATCTTGCTGCACAATTTAAAGATCTATACCCAAAAAAATTGGTGTCAAGAAAACAAATCTGAAGAGCCAATATGAAAAATATAGATAAATGTGGGGAAATTATCTGTAAAGCCAAAATGCAAAAGGCAACCCAAAGTTCTACTTAACTACTTCAGCATTTTGATAACATATCTCTTCTATATACCATAAAGTAACAATAGCTATATACTTCTGTGTAACAACAAATGCAAGAAAAAAGATGTCACTGCTACTGCATTTGTAGGCAATTTTTATCTGAAAATAACACCATCAGGTACACATGGCATTGATGCTTTCAATTTTAATTTCACAGATGAAAGAGCTTGGTGTCATCTTCTACAACTGCAGCTGCCTGGTCCTAGATTTACAAAGGATATTTGCTTTATATAGTTCATTAAAATTCAAAAGCAGAGTACCTCAGACCTGGTCCAAGAGGCTCTATGGAGTCTACGACAATGAAAAGAAATTGCAACTTCAGCTGAACGACACCAAATCTCAAGCATTTGTGTCGGTGAGTTGTCTGCCTTCTTTCTCACCCCTTCCCTCTCTTTCTTCCTCTAAAGGTTCTTTATTAAGTGTGAATGTTTCAGTGTGATCTTATCAAAAAAGAATTAGACAGATTAGTTCTATTGTATCCCTCGAGGAGTTCAAATGTGTCCTCTGTCACATGCTGTCCCCAGTAATAACAATGACACATCTTAATAATCATTCCTGGGGCTGGGGATGTGGTGGGGCTGGGGATGTGGCTCAAGCGGTAACGCGCTCGCCTGGCGTGTGCGGGGTGCTGGGTTCGATCCTCAGCACCACATAAAAATAAAATAAAGATGTTGTGTCCACCAAAAACTAAAAATTTTTTTAATAAATAATCATTCCTGGTTTCAGATACTTTGGGTTACCAGATTTTGTCCCCACAGTCATCCCATAAGGTAGACATGAGATTATGAGTATTTTACAAATAAAGATGTTAACACAAGGGAAGTCCATTTTGGTCTTTTGGCACTAAAGCTGATCATCCTGTTTTCCATGCCCTATATAAATTATTTTTCAGATGTTTTATCAGAAGAACTCTTTGATGAGATAAATACAAGGGAATCCCAGTATATGAGACAGACAAAAGCAGAGATACTGAATTTAATTGGAGCCGGAAAAGGCCCACTCAGCAGGACAAGGCTTCTTACGCTCTGCTTCTAGATCTCCAATTCAACTCCATTGAAAACCAACAACTTCCCCGTCCCCTGCCATCATTACCTCCCTGGGCCACCACACTACTGCCCACACTCCATAGCTATCCTGCAGAGATATGGGGAGCATACAGCATAGCTACTCAAACTTCCATATACCTAAGAATCAGCTATAGGGTCTGTTAAAATGGAGATTGACAATCCCTCCTCCCCCACCCAGGAACTGATCCACTCCACTCTCATCCATCTGGGGTGAGATCTTAGAGGTGTAACTTTGAATCAGACTTCTAAATTGATCCTGATACTCCAAGAAACTTCTCCAAAAAAATTTAATATTGTGCTGCTTTTTCTCCCTTGATTGATATCAGTGCTTTTATGCCAACCACTTTTATGTGACTAAAGAGCATTTTATTGAAGAGTGAATTATATGCTTTTTGCCTGTTCACATGAAATCACAATCCAAACATTTACAAAGGTAGTACTAGAGGGGGAAAGGAAGTTAAAGTTGTTTGTCTTAAATAACAAATTTGCATACATATGAATATTAGAAAATGGACTATTAAGGATTTTCATCAAATAAAACTTTAAGAACTCTTGTTTTCTTTTTTTAAAAAATGTTAATGTGGAGGTCAAGAATGACAGTAGCAAGTAGCATATTGCATAGGGCCTTGTACTAACAAAACTATTTCATATACACATTTCATTTGTCTCAAGAGCCTGTGTGTAAGACCAGAAGACCTGTTCATATATGAACAGTGAAAGGAAACAGGGTGAAATGATGCCCCAAGCAAGCAGACCAGCAGAACAGAATAGAAACAACAAGACATAGCTGGAATGAACATATTTTGGTTAATCACTGGATTTTGAATTTAAAATTTGAATCTTAGAAATAAGTGAATGAGGTTGTTCATAAATTTAGATTTTGACCCTTAAAAAGGGAAGGAGTTAAGTGGCCTCAGGTCTTTAATAAAATTTATAGAAGTTAAAAGCTTCTGTTGTATTCTAGGACAAATTTAGAAGTTGTTTTTTATTAAAAGAGTTAGCCACAAATTGAGTTGTAAAACATTTACTCAGGTAATCTCTCAAACTATGCAATGCTTTTATTTTCTATTTTCATTTATTTATTTTAATCTATTATTTTATTTTCTATTTCTTATTAAACTAAGTTTTAATTCAACAGATATTGATTGAAAATCATTTTTAAGAGTTATAAAACTTTACAGATTTTTTTTAAGTCAGAAAACTTCTGCTATTGAAATTGAGCTTCTTGATCTCACCTCTGTTTTAAAATATCACATTTTTATTGCTGTGTGCTTATCATCATTTTCCCCACTAATTTATAAGGCTCTGAAGATGATATGCTACATTCTCTTTGTCATTGGTATTCCCACCACTTCACCTGAGTCCTCTCTAAAATCAGCAATAAATGTTGGATTGAATTTATTAGTAGTAATATTAATGGAAATTTCCAGAATGCACATAGTTTTTTCAGTAGCATATAACAAATGACAAGAAAAAAATTATTTAAGCTCAATGTATTTGTTGTAAAACAACTTTTTTAAAAAAATATTTATTAATTTATTTTACCGTAGAATAAATCTTGACATATTATACACAAATGGAATACAACTTCTCATTCCTCTGGGTGTGCATGGAGCAGAGTCACTCCATTAATGTAATCATACATGTATATAGGGTAATAATGTCTGTCTCAGTCTATCATCTTTCCTATCTCCACAACCCCACCCCTTCCCTCACTCCCTTCTACACAAACAAAAGTTCCTTCATTCTTCTCTATCCCCCTGCCCAACTATGGATCAGCATCTGCTTATCAGAGAAAACATTCAGCTTTTGGTTTGGGGGAGATTAGTTTATTTCACTTAGCAAGGTATTCTTTAGTTCCATCTATTTACCTGCAAATACCATAATTTCATTCTTCTTTAAGGCTGAGTATTATTCCATTGTGTATGTGTACCATATTTTCTTTATCCATTCATCTGTTGAAGGGCACCTAAATTGGTTGCATAGTTTAGCTATTGTGAATTGAACTGCTATAAACACTGATGTGACTGAGTCACTATAGTATGCTGATTTTAAGTCCCTTGGGTATAAACTGGGATAGCTAGGTCAAATGGTGGTCCCATTCCAATTTTTATGAGAAATTCCACACTATTTTCCAAAGTAGTTACACCAATTTGCAGTCCCACCAGCAATGTAAGAGTGTACTTTTCCGCCCCCACATCCTCTCCAACACTTATAATTGTTTGTATTCTTGATAACTGCCATTATGACTGGTGTGAAATGAAATCTTAGAGTAGTTTTGATTTGCATTTCTCTAATTACTAGAGATGTTGAATTTTTTTTCATGCATCTGTTGATCAATTGTATTTCTTCTTCTGTGAATTGTCTGTTCAGTTCCTTAGCCCATTTATTGATTGGGTTATTTGGTTTTCCTTTTCTTTTCTTTTTTTTTTTTTTTTGGTGTTAAGTTTTTTGAGTTCTTTATTATCCTGGAGATTAGTGCTCTGTCTGAGGTGAATGGGGTAAACATTTTTTGACATTCTGTAGGCTCTCTCATCACATTACTGATTATTCTGATTGTTTCCTTTTCTGAGAAGAAGCTTTTTAGTTTGAATCTATCCATTTATTGATTCTTTTTTTTTTTTTAGGCGCATGCCACCACATGTGGATCAGAATAAATATTTTAATTGGCAATTTTTTTTTCTATTTGAAAAAGTCATTTCCTATTGATGGTAAACTTTCTTTTTATCATTATTTTTATTCTAAGTGACAATTAATATGAAATTGCATGTTCTATTTTCAGAATTCATTTCCCTATACAAAAACTCACCTTGGCTCTATTTTGACAAAGGTATATATATATATATATATATATATATATATATATATATA